GAAATGAGGATTTATTTGTAGGTAAATGAACTAAGTCTTAGCACAAACTTTCTACAGTTTAGTCTGACTTCTCAGAAGCTCTTCGTACATGTTCCAAATTCTTTTCTATGTTCTGAATTGTTGATATTGCTTATGAAAAGTGATTTCTAGGGAGTAAACACTTGAATATGATTGTGTTCCCATCAGCCATTTCCTTTGTTATCTAGTGCTCCTATAGCAGGAATACCACAAGTGGTAGGAGGCGGGAAGGCCAAATTCAGTGCACCAGCTGTAGGGGAAGGCTTTTCCTCATTATTGGCTCTAGAGAAAGGTCATTGTCTCCTTTCAATATCTGTGGGTCCAGTATCCCTTGGAGATCTCTATGTATCTTGGCATAAGTCTCTTCCTGGGTTTAGGCATTTCCCAGTGCAGGAACCCTGGGTTCAAAGGACACACTTCCACTCCTGGCTCTTCTTTCTTGGTGGTAGTAGGTTCCCTGGTCTCTGCTCTCTTGTTTAATCTCTTTTATATCTCAAAAGAGATTGATTCAAAGAACAACCTAATCCTGTAGATTACATCCTGCCTCATTAATGTAACTACCATTAATCCTGCCTCATTAACATCATAGAGGTTAAGATTTATAACCCATAGAGTAATTACATCAGATCACAAAATGGAGGGTAATTACATAATACTGAGAATTGTGGCCTGGCCAAGTTGACATATATTTTTTGGAGGATACAATTCCATTCATCAAAAAAAAAAAACAAAAAAAAACAAACTTGCTGTTGTAGAGTCGGATCCGACTCATAGCGACCCCTCCTTGGATTTCTGAGGCAGTATCTCTGTGGAAGTAGATTGCCCAGTCTTTCTTCTGAGGAGTGGCTGGTGGGTTTCAACTCCCAGCCTTCTGGTTAGCAGTCAAATGCTTTAGGCATTATGCCACCAGAGCTCCCATTCATAGCAACCATTAGCAAGTTAGGTGAATGCAGGCAAATCACAACATCCCTGGGTCTTAGTTTGCTCATCTCTAAAGTGTGAAGGTTGGTTTAGATGATCACGAAGGTCCTTTTGTGTTCTTGTGCCAAAAATGTAATATGGAAAAGTTGAGTTTAAATGCTGTAAGACCAAAGGGTCTACAGGGTTGAATGATCACTTTGGATTGAGAACATCATGGATATCTGAGGAAAGGAGGGTCACGTTTAAAAGGTCTGTGAAATGGGTAAAAGCATTATGGATGGGTGGGGATGTATGTCTGTGAGAAAGGGAAGACTTTTTCAGGGGAGAGCAATGAAAGCACTCAACATAAATCAGCTTGCCTGGAGCCAAGATTTCATGTAAGGCAGGGCCATGACATTCAATTAGAACATTAGATTGGGGGTCTTCATAGCCAGATGTACTTTATTCTGTAGGCAACGGAAGTTGCTGGTGCCTTTTGAGCTTAGGGGAATACTAGGTTAGAGTAGTCCAGGCAAAGGACTGAGGGATATGTGCAATATGGATTGTCCCTGGAGGCTGAGACATTTGTTGGCAGATGATTGTAGTCATCCACCTGTAAGACATTGCTCCATATAGAAAGCCCAGGTGAATGTGGAGACCCTGCCGAGTCACATGACAATGAAGTCATTGTTTTGCAGGCAGGAGGTTTGGAGAACTTCATCATAGGCTCAGCAGTGCACCATTGTTCACCATCTGTGTACACTCACATTGAATGAGTGTAAGAAATGTGAAGGGTTGGCACTTGTCCTTCGTTCAGTGTCATGATTTCTAAGATCCTAAGTTGAAATCCTACCACCCATCTGTCAGTTTATCATACCATGCTGGCTTATGTGCTGCTATGATGCTGGAAGCTGTGTATTTCAAATACCTTCAGGACCACCCATGGTGGATAGGTTCCCAACTAAGACAGATTAGGAAGAAAGGTCTAACAATCTACTTCTAAAAATTAACCAGTGAAAATCCTGTGGATCCCAACACAATATCATGTGATAACGTGCTGGAAGATAAACCCCCTAGGTTGGAAAGCACTCATAATACACAGTGGCAGCAACAATTGCCTCAAGCATACCAACAATCATGAAGATGGCTCAGGACCAGGCAGTGTATTGGTCTGTTGTACGTGGGATAACCATGAGTAGCAGTTGACTTGACCATAACTTACAACCATAACAAGAAGTTGAAAACAGAATGGAGGGCAGACCTGCACCTGGTTAGCTCCTAGCCTCCTAAAAGAATGAAGATTTGTAGCAGGCTATACGTAAGGCATTTGACTGCTAACCAGAAGGCTGGTGGTTCAAACCCACCAGCCACTCCTTGGAAGAAAGACTGGGCAATCTACTTCCATAGAGATACCACCTTGGAAAACTAAGGAAGGGTCGCTATGAGTCGGAGTCGACTTGATGGCAGCGAGGTTTTTTTTTTTCTTTAAATGGTGTTGAATCTTGGATACTTGGAGGTGTCCCCACCTAGCTTTGGTGTCCCCTTAAGTAGGATGAGATAGGCATTGGGATGCTTACAGGAGGGCTAAAACACCAAACTCTAAGTAAATTTAGCACTTAGAGAGAGAAAGAAGGGAAAAGAGGTACAGTTGAGATGTTTAAGCAAAGATCTAAGTTAATTCCCTGGAAATAGTTAGAATTCTTACTTTAATTGAAGCAGATCATAAAATGGTACTGTGGCATAAAATATTACAAGAAAATGTGTGTGTGTGGTGGATTGTTTTACATTTGCCTTTGTGCCCACCAATTTTAAAACAATGGCTGAAAAACCATTCCTGCCTAAGAATGTTTCTGCTCTCCTTTCACTTGGTCTCTTTGCATTTCCACTACAGATTTCGAGGATGCACAGGATTGGTTTAGGTGCTGTCCTTTGTGTTCAAAGAAGACAAATTAAGAGTGCTTACTGTGTGCAAGTAAATGAATGTATGCTTCTGGGAGCAGACAGCTGGCTGTACATGTGTTTTGATGACCATAGGATGCAGTAGAGTTTTGAATAACTTATTTAAAATGAGTGAAATTAAGAGTCTAAAATCAGATTCAGAAGACATAATTAAAATAATTAGAGTGTGGGGAAACATACTAAAAAGTTGATGTAATAACCTTTTCAGGGCATATTATGTAGAAGACAATGAGAAAGCAGCTTAAATGGTAGTAAATGCAAGATTAGCTTCTGTGTAATGACCTCTCTGATAGGCAGGATTGCTACAGTGGGAAACAACTAGCAATGGCTGTAGCATGATGATACTTGATGCACTGGGCTTACAACTGTAGCCACAAAGGCGGCTATTATTACATGTTATAAGAAGCATTATTAATAAGAAATATCCTCTGGGTTCTTTATAAATAGATGCACACATGTCTTTAAATGGGCTTGAGTATATTTCTTCCATAGTGATACTGCTTCAGAAACCCAAGGAGGGGTCACTGTGATTTGGGTCTGACTCAGCGGCACATAACAACAACAACAACATATTTCTACCTATATCTCCATCTCTTAGAATTTGGAGTTTAAAAAGTTGGTGATTCTTATTTTGCTGCTGAGAAAGAAAATGACTCCATTTAAAAAACGGTGTCCAGCCCACACACATTTTTATCTGCATGGTAAAGTATCAGCAGCCTATAATGATGGCTGTTGTGGAGAAGGTATGCTTACTGACACAAATAACAGAAGCTTGACAAAGCACACCCACTGACCCAGTCAGACCTCTTCCTAATAGTACAGATATATTCTCTGACTCTGAATGTGGTTCTTTTTTTTGACTCTGCTCAACCTTTTTTGCATCCTGGGACTTGGTGGTGTACCCAGCTGTGCTAGAGAACACGAGAGGTGGGATGAGCCTGTTTCCTCAGTGGGCACTAATTGCCTAAAAGAATTATTGGACTTTGAAGGGAGCCATTTATCATTTTCAAAGAAGTCTTTTGAGTTTCCTAAGGAATGAACCTTCTGCTTTCTTCCATGACTGGCCCTTGCTCAAAGAAGGTTCCAGAAGGCCTATAACTCACGTGACTAGCCCTGAGCCACTCTCTAAGTTCATTTTAAATGGCTATAGTTTCTAAGAGAGAATTTGAACACACACTTCAACAATTAAATAAGTATAACTATAATATCCATCTAATCACATTATAGGAACTTTATATAATAGCACAAAAGAAAAAATACTCATAGTCCCACACCATATCACAGTCAGTTTTATTTTGGTTTATTTTTTTATAGTCCTTTTTTGAATGCCTGTCTGGGGTCCCTGGGTAGTGTAAATTGTTTATGTCTGTGTCTGCCAACTAAAAGAGTGGGAGTTCAGGTCCACCCAGAAGCACTTCTAATGAGTGGCCTAGTGATATCCTTGAAAAATCAGCCATTGAAAACCCCATGGAGTACAGTTCTATTCTGACATACATGGAGTCACCGTTGGTCAGAGCCGACTTGATAGCAGTTCAAATCCACCAGCTGCTCTGTGGGAGGAAGACGAGACAATCCACTTCTGTAAAGATTTACAGCCTTTGAAACCCAATAAAGGGAGGTCCCTATGAGTCAGAATCAACTCGATGGCAGTGGGGTGCTCTGGTGGCATAGTGCCTAAAGCATTTGAGTGCTAACCAGAAGGCTGGCAGTTCAAACCTACCAGCCTCCTCAGAAGGAAGATTGGGCAATCTACTTTTGTAAAGATACCACCTCGGAAACCCAAGGAGGGGTCGCTATGAGTCAAATTGACTCAACGGCAGTGAGTTTTTGGTTGTGTGTGTGTGTGTATGACAGTTTTGTAGCCAACATTAAATTTTTTTCCTATGTTTTTATGAAGTCTTCATAACTGTAATTTTTAAATTGATGGTATTTTGCTTTCTTTTTGGGATACTTAATTGGGAGCATTTTAAGTTCCCTGGTAATTGTTTGATTTAGAGATTTCATCTTAATTTTCCTCTTTTTTTAAAAAAAAATACATTTTGTGCTAGATCTTTACTATTAAAAAGTATTCCGCAGCCAATGTTGATTTTTAAAACTGTCATTTCTTGTTTTTCTGTTTACAGGGATCTACCGAACAGAAAAAGATAAAGGCACTTTGTATGAGCTTACATTCAAAGGGGACCAAAAACATGAATTCAAACGACTTGTCTTGTTTCGACCATTTGGCCCTATCATGAAAGTGAAAAAAGAAAAACTCAACATGGCCAACACACTTATCAACATTATTGTGCCACTGGCAAAAAGGGTGGACAAGTTCCGGCAGTTCATGCAGAATTTCAGGTTTGTTCATTTGCACATGTTTATCTTACTCAATGTGGTGTGTGTTAGAGCACTGATATCATTTCCCATCATTTCCTCTGCCAAGTATAAAGGCTCCTTTCTTTTCTTGTTAAAATCTGTTTTTCTTCATTTAGAGTTTATAGTTTGTGTTTGTCTTTCCCTAAAGCAATTAGAAAAATCTTGGATAAGCATAATTACCTTTAGAAATGAAAACTAGGAAGGATTGGTTTTTAATCAAAACCTACAAAGATGACCTAATATCTGTTGGTGTTCAGTTGTGGAAGTCGGTGAGTGGTGCAAACAGTTAAATGCTCAGCTACTAGCTTGAAGGTTGTTGGTTCAAACCCACCAAGAAGTGCCTCAGAAGGAAGCCCTTGTGATCTACTTGTAAAAGATCACAGCCTTGAAAACCCTATGGAGAAGTTCTACTCTGCACATATGGGATCTCCATGAGTTGGAATTGACTCAATGGCAACTGCTCATTTGTTTTTGTTTGTTTGTTCATTTCTGACTTGAGTTTGGGCTCAGGTTTGGAGAAAGCTGGAGCTATGCCATGATATCAATGGCATGGTCTCTCAGACCCTTAAAGGCAAGCAGAGTTCTAGGTCTTCAGGAGCAGTGAGGAGATGGCTGGTGACAGCCCATGATGGCCTATGTTTGAGGATGCTCTTGCTAAGCTGGGGTTGGTATTTTACCTGCTGCCCTGCTCTAGCCTCCAACTGCTGGATGAATTGAATCTGAATCAGTTCTTTATTCTAATCTACATCTCCTCAGGGATTAAACCTAGAATTATGCCAAGAAGTTTCCCAGCATTCATTTTTGTAGCTACTAGAAGGAAAGTGGGGTTTCATCTTCAGATACAGTAATGTAGGTTTTCCATATGTGTCTTCAAGCTCTTTATTGTGCAGTGTTATATCTTTTATGGTTAATATTTACATATCAGCTGAGATTAGTCAGCTAATATTTTTAACCAGTTTATTTTAAAGATAGAAAGTTATATCTATATATTTACAAATCTTAGATGATCAAACTGATTTGTTATCTTTTATCATGGAATTCGTATTATTGAAAGCTAATAATAGTATAAAGATGTGGTTGCTCTCAAAATTCTGGTTAGTGAACACATTTTTTTAAATATTTGAAGAGCAACCCTTTTCTGTTTAAATATTATATTTTGAATCAGATAGTCGTAGAAGAGACTTTGAGGTTATCAGGTCTAATTCCCTGCTCCCCATTCCCCCGCAATTCCGAATCCCTCTATAGTACCATCCCTGACATACGGTGCTTAAGTCAATGTGTATGTCCGTACCTATTTCACAAGATAGGCTGCTCTTTTGTTGACCAGTTCTAGTTAGAAAGTTCTTTATTATTGGGGCCTGAAGTCTGCCTCCCTGTAATTTCTACTCAGTGAGTATAGTTTTAGCCTCTGGAAAAATACTGAACAAAACCTATTTCATCTTAAATATCATAGCCTTTCATGTATTTAAAGACAATTATCTCAATTCCCCTTGTCTTGTCTTCTCCAGACTTAAAAACTAGTTTTTAGAACTTTCTTGATGATCTAGAGTTACTCCATTTAGCCATGATATAATCTAGAATAAGGGTGGGCTAAATTGTTCATCCCTCACAGCTTGTGGAATTCTCCATGGTGTAGAGTCACTTATATGGTGACAGAGTCCCTCTGGCTCCCATACTGAAATGTCTATGTTGCTTTGGCTTCATTTGGCCTTTAGTTGGTGTGCTTTCTCTTTCTATCTTTCCTTTTGGAGTGAAAGAGTGCCAGGTGAGACTTACCTCATGAGATCTAGTGAACCAAACCTTGTGGTTGACTCTTAAGATGACACTATGAGTGATATTTATACTCTTGGACTTTCTGTTTTGTAAATTTTTATATAATTACATGTTTTATATTTTGTTAAAAAGAATTCAATTAAGAGCTTTTGGGAACTTTGATAATTTAAACCTGAGCTTTAAAATTTATAAATAAAACGGCTACTATAAGATGTTTAAGAAGCTCTGGTGGCACAATGGTTAAAGCACTCAGCTGTGATCTTACGGGAACAGATTGCCAGGTCTTTCTCCTGTGGAACTTCTGGGTGGGTTCAAACCACTATCCTTTCACTTAACTGTTGTGCCATCCAGGAAACTTTAATTTTGTGTTAATAATAGCTAATTCTAGGAAGAAGGATCTGAAGTGATTTTTAAATAATTTATTCTATATTAGGAGTTCTGATGGCATAGTGCCTTAGGCATTTGACTGCTAACCAGAAGGCTGGTGGTTCAAACCCACCAGCCATTCCTCGGAAGGAAGGTTGGGCAATCTACTTCCATAGTGATACTGCCTTGGAAACCCAAGGAACAGGGGTCACTATGAGTCGGATCTGACTCAATAGCAGTGAGGGTGGGTATTCTATATTGTTTAAACACCTTATAAACCAAAAGCATAAAAACAAACCCACTGCCATCGAGTAGATTCTGACTCATAGTGACCCTTTAGGACAGAGTAGAACTGCCCATAGGGTTTCCAAGGTCATAAATCTTCATGGAAACAGACTGCCTCATCTTTCTTCCACACAGTGTCTGGTGAGATTCAAACTGCTGACCTTTTGGTTCCTTCCACTCAGCCCCATTGAAGATAAAGCCTTTCCCTGAGGGGCAGATGTGTTTGGATTTCAGAAGGAGCCCAAGTTAAGAGCCAAGTGTGGAGAATCAGAGAGAAACAACCCCATTTATTTACTTCTCATCTTACTTGTCTGTTTTTAGCACCTTTACTTCTACAAGTCAAAAGGGGGGGGGGGAGAAAATGTTAACCCCATATTTAATGGTTCCATGGGGAATGAGGAGAATAGGGGTACATATAAGATGCTTCATCTGGAGGCTTTTATTATTTCTTATCCTTTCTATTCTTCCTGCTCTGACAAAGAATCTTGATTAAATTATCTTTTTTTCTTTTGGTTGTGCAAAATCTACTTTTTTAAAAAAATTATTATTGCAAGGGTTAGTTCCTGTTGTGCAGTTATGATAATTCTATCTTTCTTCTCTATTTTCCTTACAATGTGGGGAGTCCAAACCATTCTGCTGTGACTCTTCCACCTGCCTATGCTGCTCCTGAAGTAGGAGACCAGCGCTCCATCGGTCTTACCCAGATGTTCCTCTGGGCTGTCTCTTCACCACTCAGTCTGTTTCTTATCTGTTGACCTACCTCCAGCTCTACTTATAGAGGCTGGAGCTGGAGCTGGGAGCCATGTGAGGCTAAGCTAAAATCAGTTTCTTTCCTTGGCCTCCTCTTTGTGAAGTTCATGTCATTAAATTGTGTCCCTTTTATTGGGCATTGACTGATGGCAAGGTTTTTGCTGTTTTCTACTACTTTTGGTACATAGCTCTTATAATTATCATCATTTCCTGTTTAATTTAAAAAAAAAAAAAAACACACATCTTTCTAATGCATCTCCTTTAAAATGTAAAATTTCCTAGGACATCAATTGGCTGAGGAATCTTTTAGAAGTCAACTACATATATCTCAGCTTTAGTATCTTCATCTATAAACTGAAAATATTGGTCCACTTGTAGCTCTGACACTGATTGTTACACGTAGTTTTAGGTTTTTATGCTTCAGCATTAATCTGATAATTTGCTGTTGTTAGTTGCCTTCAAGTTGTTTTTGACTCGTGGAAACTTTATGTATAACACAACGAAACATTGCCTTGTACTGCACCATCTCCATTATCTTTGGTATGTTGGAGCCCATTGCTGATGTTATTGAGTCAGTCCTTCTCAAGGAGGTGTTCTTTGTTTTCGCTGACCCTCTACTTTACCAAGCATGATGTCCTTTTCCAGCGATTGGTCTTTCCTGATGACATGTCCAAAGAAAGCAAGACAAAGACAAAGTATTTCCGTCCTTGCTTTTATAGAACATTCCAGTTGTATTTCTCCTTATTCATGTGGCTAAGAAATAGAACAAATTGCTTTGTTTGACATAAGAAATAGATGTGGAGCCTGGAATTCTCAATAGAGAGTAGGACTGGTTAGAGATACACAGCAGCTCCTAGTAGGGAAGGCTGAGTCCCCAGGAAATGGCTCACCTGAGGTGATGACCATGTATGAAGTACAATATGCAAGGAATCAAAGACTGAGTTTTCACACATCTGAACTGTACTTGGGGTTGGCCCTGGTGAGAAAATTGATTCCAACAACAATTAGTCTAAGGGACTAATGGATCACAGGAACCTTAGCCTACACAACCCTGAGACCAGAACTAGATGGTGTCTGACTACCAATTCCAAGCATTAGGAAAAGCATCAAAATTAGAGATCTTGGATAGAGTTGGAGGAAAAAAAAGTGGAACAAAATTCAAAAACAAAAAAGACCAGGATTAGTGGTCAGATGGAGACTGGTGAAACCCCTGAGACTATGCCCTGAGTCATTTTTCAGGCCTGGAATTTGACTCACTCCTGTGGGTTGGCTCTCAGGCAAACAATAGACAGGTCTATGAGCTGAACAACTACACCAGGAAGATGCACTACTTAGAACAATCTGCAGTAGGAGATTGGAAGGGCAGCATTTGTCCACGGAGAAACCTAGGGAGGCAAGAATGCATAGGAAAGGACAGAGGGAAGGAGAAACCACAGAGAGGAGGTAGAAGGAGACCTGTTACATCATAGGAATGGTAATCAGTGCTGTGAAACAAAATGTATATGAGCTATTGAATGTAAAACAAATCTGCTTTATAAAATTGCACCCAAATTGCAGTAAAAACTTAAAAAGAGAGAAAATTGATTCCATGGTGCATTGAATGTATAGATATTTATTGTATGTACTGGGAGCTTTGGTGGTACAGTGCCTAAGTCATTTGACTGCTAACCAGAAGGCTAGCAGTTCAAATCCACCAGCCACTCCTCAGAAGAAAGATTGGGCAGTCTACTTCCATAGTGATACTGCCTCAGAAACCCAAGGAGAGGTCGCTGTGAGTCGGATCCGACTCCATGGCAATGAGTTTGGTT